TCAAACTGTGTACTTCTCAGATTATTGCTAAAGTCCTAGCTAGTAAACTTTATCGCCTTACCAAAATGTCGCCAAACTACATGTTACCATATTCTAAAGATTAGCCCACAACACTAATAAACAGAATTTAACACTAAACTTTATTACAACAAACCGAAATAACTACTGACCACACAAGGGAACCATTATCTTCACTGTCGATTCCTGCGCAACACATATTCCCATATCACCACATTATTTTTTCTTACAAAATTTGATGATACACATTATTACTACCATATTTTCACTTTACTCCACTTCCTGACACAAAAAATGTTATGTTCACCTCTTTGTGGAATGGGGTGGAAATCAAAACTTTACACAATAAATATCATATTTTTTTTTACTCTTGCTCCAACGTACAAACTGGAAACACAACTTACTTATATCTTTAGAACACAATTACAATAAAAATAATCGCGTGTTGCCACATCTCTGAAACACAATCACAAAAAACTGCATTCATTTAAAAGTAGAAATAAATTATTTTTAGCTTTATACGAATAGCAGGAGCGCGTTCTTTCGGCGAGCAATGGATGGCGTAATAGTCGATATTACCCGGAGAGTGAAGGGATTGCGCGTATGGTGTGGCCAGCATATTCGCCCGACCTTAATCCAATTGAAAATCTTTGGGATATTCTCGGCCGTGCTGTAGCTTCACGTTTCCCACCTGCAGCCACTCTTATTGAGCTGGAAACTGCTCTACAAGAAGAATGGCGATTGCTTAATTCTGCGGTGGTTGGTCACCTAATTGAAAGCATGAATTCTGCGGTGGTTGGTCACCTAATTGAAAACATGAATTCTGCGGTGGTTGGTCACCTAATTGAAAGCATGATCACAAGGTGTAAACTTTGTATACAGATGAGGGGGATCACATACCCTCTTAATGTCCTTTTTTTCATTTTATGCTATTTATTTTCACTTTATACATAATTCTGTTTAAGTCTCCAGTATGTCATTATCTAATAACTTTCAAAAATTTAATATTGTTTTTATTTCTGTATATAATTATTGATTTTATTTTATGCATAAATATATATGCTACTTGCCTGCCGAATGTTTTGTCAGTCAAAGCAGTATTTGATGATTTCTTTTGCATTTTGCACCTTCGTGCTTAAAGTTTGGAAGTGAGTGTATATAAGCATTGTGTATATTGTTTGTACAAATGCAAGAAATCTACTAATATTCTACAGTGTGTCTGCATGTTTTATGTATGTTTTATATGCGCATTTTACATGTTATCTATATGTGTCTTTAAATGTGTAAGTGTATAATATATATTAGCTTAAATATGTTGGGCTATAAGTATATGTTTTACTTGTATAAGTGTGGGCAAACAAATATCTAATTTCTATTATTCTATAATGTGTTTACATGTGTTATATATGTTATATATGTACTCTTATATATGTTTTACACGTGTTTTTATGTGCCTTTATATGTGCAAGTATAAGCGTTTGTATATGCTGTAATTTGTATCTAACAAACCAAGATGTAACAAATCATACGCCTATCGATCAAAACTAATGTATTCTTAAGACGCCCCTGTATGGCCATGCACAATTACGTAAAACTCTTCAATAAAATCACGAGATGTCCTCACGAGGCTCCAGGGAGTTGCTGCCACTAGATAGGGGAGGACGCGGGACATATGCCTGTTTACCTCTGTTAAACACCAGGCGTCCTCGTCCTTTGTCACCTGTCACCTGTAATCCAGCGCGTGATGAGTTTTAAGAGAAAGCTACGCCGAAATGTAATGCTACAGGAGCACACGCATTTAATAAATATATATGTCATAATTGTACCCTTTTGCTTTCCAGAAACCTCGAGAAAATACCAGAATGATCTCGTGCCTGATTAAAATGCTTGCAAAAATCAGAGGAAAATATCTCAATTCAGTTGCTTACTTAGTTCTTGTTGTTGATTGTAGCAAATTCGCGGTGAGATCAGATTAGCTTCCTCTTCTTTGAACTGTGTTCTATTTAAAGTTTTAGTAGTTTAAAATATATTTACTGTGAGATATTGTGATATTGTACGAATATCTCTGAGGAAATATCAGCATTTTGTTTTATTTCTTGCGATAAGAATAAATTTTATTAACCTTTTATCGACTTAGGCATTCAATCCATTACGAACCCGTCCACACGCAAGAATATAAAGAACAACACTTCCAAGAAATAAAAACGAAGAATTTTTTTGAAGGCAAGCAGGAAAGGTAAGTGAAACGGTTAACAGAAATTGAGAAATTTGCGAACTGAATTACGCTTGGCAGAAAACGGAAAAAGAGCTCCAAACTGCATTTTCGAATTACTCCAAAATTTTCTCACTGAATTTTACAAAATTTAATTTTAGGCATGATTTGAGTCTTCGAATCGAAGCAGAAAAAAAGTTGGCATGTCATTTTAGTAAAAGACGATTTTGTGTCAAAATACACATGTTAGAACAAAGCTGTGCATAAGTCCAACATATATACAAACTCCCGCTTTAAAGACATGTAGAAGACAAGTTGAATTTCGTCACTCGGCCATATAAAATGGGAGATATAGAACTGTCCACATTTTTATTTTTTTTTTAATTTATTTTTTCTAACTCAGTGTACATTAGCTAATATTGTAAAAGTATTCGTAAACTCTGAAAGGAATGTTATTTTCATTATGTTAGAAAATGAGAGATTTAAAATTGTTTCGTTTCTCTTTAACTGTAAGTGTTATACAGGATGTCCCATAAATATTGCGATAAACTTCTAAGGAAGATAGGACACATCATAAGGATTAAGAATTGCATAGGAACCCCTGCCCAGAAACGTTAGTGTACACCGCCAGGGGTAGAGTACAGGATTGTACAGGAGAGTGCTAGTGGAAAGTGAGGATTGCCTCATTCGAGCGGTAGGCACCATACGAAGAGCATGGGACCCTATACGAACGGAGAGCTTGTGTACATGTCGTTCAAACATGTTGGAGCGTCTGCTCATTTTGGACTGGATGTTCGTGGCCATTTGAACAGACCATTCCCGCATCGATGGATTGGGCGTAATGGAACGGTTCCCTGGTCTCACGCTCAGCGGATGTATTGAGCCTTGATATCTTTTACTGGGGCGCCATCAAAAGTGTCGTGTATGACGATCCTGTTGTATCTGAAATGGATATCGTGGCATGACTCGCCCGTGCAGCTGCTACAATCAAAGAAATTTCCGGTGTGAGGCATGTTTGACGATTAATGGTGCAACCTTTGGGCATATGTTGTTACATTCAAGCTGTCATACACCATTTGTATTCATGTTTAATAAATGTTTCAAATTAATCACTCTCTTGTTTCCTTTCCCATCTTCTACATATGCTACCACTCTGCTACCACTTACCCCTGACATTTCCGAGCATGGGTTCCCATGCAATTCATAATCCTTATAATATGCTCTACCACTCCCAGAAGTTAGTCGTAACATTTACGAGACACCCTGTATATTAAAGGAACAATACCGTAATTTAGTTTCATATATGCATACTCAATAATTATTGAGGCATAAAATTCTTTTAAAAAGTTACTGTTATTTCTAAATACAAAGAAGGAAAATATTTTCCTTGCTTGAATCTACTAAGTTAATTTCTTTCTTAAAACTCAAAAAAGTAAGATAAAACTCCCGTTAATATATATTTATTATTAGATATATTACGATAACCAAAGGCTTTCATGAATAAGAGTTTTTAATCCCTCCTCAGTAACGTAACCGCAGTAGCAAAAAATGAAAAAACGATTTTTTTGGGGGAAAGACGAAGAAAATGTGTTAATAATATGAAATATTATCTGGCCAGTGGTCGGTTACCTATTTTCAGAATAAAGGTTATTCTTTTAAAGAACTCAAATTTCCATAATTTGGCATGTTGGGTTACATTTCATGCAACTGAGATTGCTATTTAAAAAAATATACTGATTTCTTTTTGTTATTTCAAAAAATTTACTGATTTCTTTTATCTAAATTTTAAATAATTGAACTCAATTCACACTCTTACAGAAGTTGTATTTAATTTTTACTTTTTAATAATTGTATAAGACAGAGCTTATTTGATGTTGTACACTATAACAGACAGATATTCTAAATACTGTGATGGTATTTAGAATTACAGTTAGATAATTTCTCAATTTTCAGTTTCAATAGAAAATATTTGATATATGTTAAAGTGCCATGAGTGTTTAAATTGAAAAAAAAACATATTTAAATAAATGATTTTGTTTTGTTTTTGGAATGTTTTTTGTAAATGCCGGACTAATCATAGATTATCCATTAAAAGTGTTATCCGGGAGTGAAACCTTCTGATCAGTCGGATAAATCAGGCTAGATAACACTATTACACTTAATAAATTAAGAAATTATAACGAGATTAAAGAATTTCCGTTATAAATATATTTTACTATAAAAATTATAATTAATATATATTAATTAATAACTTCAAGAAAGCCGTTTCATACATATTCATTAATGTGTTTGGATGGGAAAAAAAATAGGCTTTATGAAAGTTTATATTTAATTAAATAAGAGAATGCATTTGCATTACAATTCTTTTGCGTATAATCAGTGTTGAAAGAAACAAAATTATGCAATGAGAGTGTAATAAAGAGAGAAAAACTGCATAATGAGTATCATTAATTTCCGCATATACAAAAGTTAAAAAAAAGTAAATGAAAGCTAACTACATCCAACCAGTTTCTATATTTCATTCTATCGCCTTCTTCAACCATCTTCTTTAGAACATTGCGAGCAGTTTCAGAATGTGTTTGAGAGGCAGTCTCTTGATAGGAAAAGTGAATGAATATGCTTACAAGGTCGCGCACTTTTAACAGCAGAGAAAAAAAAATCTCTCTCTCATGATGTTAGAAGCTCAAAAGAGAGTTTTATTCAGCGAGTTTATTTGTTACAGCTGGCAGGGAAAATTGTGAAAGGGAAGAGGATATAACTGATTATCAGCAGCTATAAAAACATTAATAAAACGCCTGGGCCATTTTTCCGCAACTATGATCACACCTTCAGTGACTTTTCTGAATTTTAAACTAAGCTTAGCTGCACTAACAAGACATTTTACCGCGTGGTACTATTCGTGACTTATAAGCAAATGAATTAAACTATTATTTACGTCTGAAGATCCTAATTGTGTATTCATCAGATTTAGTGTGGAAACCTTCCGAAACTGAAACACAATGGAATTTGAAGATTTACTGCTAGATGTCGGAGATTACGGGAAATACCAAAAGCATTTGATTTTAATTTTCTTAGTCCCTGCAGCTTCCTTACTTCCATGGTTTACCATGGACATTATGTTCATGGTATCAGTCCCTGATCACTGGTGTTATGTTCCAGAATAGTTAGTCTAATTTAAGCATTTCTGCTCAAAGATCTCTAATTAGTCCTCCGGGCGATCCATGTTGTCTTATGTATGATATAAATTACACGGACTTTTTGTCTAATGGAATCTACACTGTGCCTAATGATACAGCTACAAAACCATGTATTCAAGGTTGGCAATATGATAAAACCGACTACGAATCAACAGTTGCTACAGAGGTAAGTTGATTTTGAATTAGATTCTGCTTGAAATCAACACTATAAGATTTGAAAGCTAAGATATTTGCACACGCAATTCGTTTCTAAGAGAAATATATTGGAAAAAATTTACTTCTGTAACAATTCAAATAAATTAATCTCTACGTCGGTTAAACCAGTAACGTTAGGAGCAAAAGCTTTACCCTGTCGTAGGTGCTATATAAAAGGGACCGTGTACAAAATTTGCATGTATTATTTTAAACTGAAGGTGTGGATTGCATTTTCATTTCAAGCTGTTTGTTACGCCACTGAAAAAAAAATGCTGAGTTATTCTCTCATACGATAAGGCAACCCTCTATAAACAATCTTAAAAAAATGTATTCTTTCGTTCCAGTAATTTTATTCCATTTATTTTTATTTCATTAAATATTTTGATGCAATTCATTTTAATTAAACTTATTATTAATTCAAAGGGGCTTATTTAAAGTATTAATTACTAATTAAGGTATTAAATATATTTCTTAGCACTCGGTTCTGTAATTTCAGTGTCCTTGTGCTATTTCAAAATGCTCGTTTTTCTTTTAATTGTTTAATAATGTATTGTTTATTAATTGGCATGCGTAAATTACTCTCGAATTGTTTGAGACTAAAATTTGTATTACGATAAAGTACAAAAAAACAAATTTTGTTCTCTACTATCCTTTAATGAATAAGCAGTAATTTCGATAATTGTGCAACCAATGTATTTTTGGAGGCAGAAATACATTAGCAAAAATACATTTAAATTTTTATTAAGTTCATAAGATCGAAATTATTTTTAAAGAAAACTAAGAATCATTTAATAAGGCGAAATGTTTAAAGAATTTTTTTATCAAAATTAAAAAAGCAAATCTTTAGTACGTTTATAAATTGACCTAATATATTTAAATTAATATTAATTAACCTAAACAGAGGTTTTTTAATATTAGCATTTTTCTTAAGCATTATTTTAAAGCAAAGAAGAAAATGCTGCAAGAAGAATAATATTAATTTGTATTTTTTACCTAAGAATCTTACTTTTCTTCATAACAGAAGTATACTGAAAACTTAAAATGATTATATACGGCATTTAATGTATGTGAAACTAACTTTATGAAATATTACAGGCATGGAAATAATTTTGATAATTAATGAAGTCTCAGTTGGTCTTATTAATTAATCTTATTAGTCAGCTAGAATTTTGTTTACATTATTTATTCTAAGGTTTTTAAAATACAGAGAGGCAGAAATTTTGAATTTTAATTCGTTAATTAAGACAAATATTTTATGAAAGATATTCCTCCTTTAATTGCATTTACTGTCTCTCAAGTAACAACATATATACAAAATCCCTTATTCTAAAGTTATAGTTTTACCTAATTTTCAATACTATGGTGTCTTTAATAAGGACACATATTACATCCTTTAATAAAATTGAGGCCCACCAGCGGCCGACCGGTAAAGTCGCTGAACACTGGTAGTTCGGTCCGAGGTTCGAATCCCGCGAACGGGCTGGCTGCATGGGCGTTTTCGTAGTTTTCCCCATGTGTAACATGTATACGAGCCAGTTTCCCTTAGAAAGTCCTCCACGAAAGGCATCCTTCCCCTTAGGCAGATAGCCCTCGTGTGCTTTGCCATAGTTAAATACACCTAAAAAACACCTTAATAAAATTGAAATAATTTATTTTGAAAAAATTACAAATTTTAAAATTTCAGTCATAATAAGATGCGTTGTTCTGAATGCAAATGCCCAAAGAGTGAAGCACTATATAGTAAAACAAGTCTTCTCTAAGTGGAGATATTGGTTGGAGCTAAATAAGGTATACAAAATATTATTTAATACTTTTCAATCAAATATAGCTGAAAAATATTAAAATAATAACTGAAGTGTATATTTGGAAGAGGAATATGTCACAACAATAGCAAAATATTTTTAACACATAAAAATGGGAGTGATATTTGTAAACTATAAATACTTCAGTATCAATTCACATCGATTAACAACTCTTCAGCTATTTCTTAAGTTCATTTAAAAGTAAATTTATCTTGCTGTGTATCTATCTCAACTCTATTGTGTCATGTAACTATGCATGGTAGATTATTTGTGGCGCTTTTAATCCACTATTTTTGCTAAGCTGGATTGGATATGAGAGTTTTTCTCCTGCAAATTCTTAAATCTGAGCCTTTGGATAACGGAAAGCTATTCAAAATACTCTTTTCATGCCGAATTTTACAGCAAATAGTGAGTGATTAAAATATTGAAGAAAGAAATGTTAACAACAAAGCTTCCCATTATTTCAATAAAGATAGCTTGGCCAATAAAGCGGATTTATATTTAGAATAACTAACTGTTCTGCTTCCTAACAAAAACAAGAATCCGTATTTAAAATATATACAATGAAATTTACTTTTTATTCCGCAGTTTATGCATATATATATCTCTCTCAGATAAGAACTCCACAAAATACATCCCTCAAGAATTCCAAGTCCCACCCACTACCATAAATTACTTCACCCAAGTCTTACCGACTGATATTATTCAAAGCCCCTTCTGCCGCTAAGAATTTTCGGACACCCTACACTTCTGAGTCAGACACGAAGAGAACACTTTGCCAACTCCCCCACTAGAAAGAATGTAAGTTACTTAATACCTTTTCTGGCCTTTATATCTTCATGTACATTCACTGATCTTATTTATATATTTTCTATATTATTTTTATATTATTTTTATATTGTCTTTGATTTGTTTTTACAAAGTTTGCATTATTTATTTTTTATAATCTTCTATGTTTATTTCAACTTTACTTTGAATTCGATTTCATAATGACAATTTCCAATGTTTAATTTCTACAAATAATATAGTAATCAAATGCATAAAGATGAAAGTGTCGGGGACGGTTACTCGAGTTAAATAGGATTTCTCTACAGTAATTGATTTTTTTTACTCCAAATTGAATTGACTAAAATGCTTCATGGGAATAAGTTCTTTGAGTATCAGCATTGGTTCATAATTCCTTCTATTCGCGGAAATATTTGGCCTGACTATAATTGCCGGTTTGGCTTTAACTTATAACTCGAGTAAAGACGAAACACTTTCGTATTTACGTATTTTTGTCAATTATTGTTCAGTGAACGGGAGATGGTTTGTTCCCCTTGAAAAGTCAACTAATTTCCGATCAATGACAATGATTACATGTTTTAATTTTTCCTTTTACAATTGAAATTATTATTCTTCGTGAGGATTTAACTCTAGTCCCCGTTAAAACATTATTAACATTTTGCTTTCAAATTACCTCAAAACATCTTAACTTACCAGTATGGATGCACACTTTTAAAATAATTCTACTTTAATTAAACTTAGGAGATAATATAATCAATTAATCAATACTGTTTAGGAAATAAATTATTATTAACTAACTTTGCAGCAATTACGCAAGTAATAATAACTTGTATTCGCACTAAATGGATTTAAGATCAGACAACATTACAACATTATATATATATATTAGTTATATTGTAGAGTCATTAGGTTATTTTGAAACAGGAGCCATGAAAAATGTGCAGTACTCTTGTGGGGACTCGAAACCTGGACCTCTCGAATACGCGTCGAGTATGCTTCCAGTTAGTTACATATCGAAGGCATAAACAAATGAGGAAAAAATACCTTATAATGTTACAATTTATTCAGGTTTCGCTTGGTCTCTTTTCTCAACGCAAAGCTATTAAAATCCGTAGTGAAATAATTAAGTAATTGGTTTAAAACGTTCAATAACCCTGATTTTTCTTTACCAGAGTTATCTTGACCTGAGTTAAAATAACACGCCGAATAACGATTATTGAAGAAATTAAAGCTACATTCATAAATTTGCAGGATTAAATATAGAACCTCCGAAGTTAGTCCTGCAAATTTTTGAATATTACCCTGATTCTTGTTGCTTTAACCTACAAACGACATATAAAGAATTTATTCCTTCACCACATGACCTGCTAGAACTCAGAAGTTCCGACAATAGAATCCTAGCGAGGGCATTACTAATGCACTAAATGGATTTAAGTTCATACAACATTTAATATATATATATATATATATATATATATATATATGTATATATACATGTCTCTTGTTTCCGGTTCTAGAAAGTCAAAATCCCTGTACTCATGATTATTAACTTTCAAATAATTTGTTAACGCTTGATTAAAAATTTGATGTGTACACCACATGACTTCCTTGTACGGAATATTAAATTATACGCATTTTTTCTTGAATTTTACTTAAACTTGTTATATTGAATTAAACCTACTTCGCCGACAGCGCATAAACCACAATAGAATAAATGCATTCTTTAAAATTCACTTTGTTTACCATAGCGACATATATTTCATTCATATTATAACTCAGAATGCACAAAATGTATACCATTTAAAGAATTATCTAATCATTGCCACATGTTCTATTCAAATATTATAATAAAGCTAGAACTATGTATAAAAGAAATTAAGCAAACAAAACAGAAACGAAACACTTTTTCACAGACGATTGAGTATTTCTCATTTAATTAATTCAGTTCTCACTTCGCGAGAATGCAAAAATACATAAAAACTCAAAATATCTATATTAAAAATTACGAAGTAAATCTCAAACGCTTATTTCCTCGAAAAAATTCCAGAAAGAATTAAGCATGATTTAATTGGCAATAATAAATGAAGGTGTTATCTTTGTTGTTGCGAAGCCAAGGTTCTCTAGATTGACGACAAATCCACTAGTCTGCTGTTTCAGATGTAAACAATCAATGGCCGCCATCAAAAACAGGCTTAGCGGCAATTAAACAACTTTAAAATTGCTGATAATTCTAAAACTATTGCACACAGATTTACTAAAGGCATAAAATCCTTAACCGGAAATAAAAAACAACATAATTCAATCATTTTTAAAGCAAAAATGTACAATTTACAAACATATAAGAGTAAAGAAACTGAGATCACTGAGCCGGCTAATAGAGTGGATATATATATAAATATATTTACTTACGTCTGAAGCGGCCGATTGCAACCAAAATACAAGGTGCACATCTGCATGTTATAGCAGTCCTTTATACAAAATCTGAACTTTCTGAGGCTACTCGTTTTTGAGTTATGCGAGATACGTACGTACGCACGTATATACGTTCGTAGCGCCAAGAAAAATTCTATTCATAATTAATTTTAAAGCAGTGTTATAATTTTTTTGAAGGAAAAGAGTATTTTATTCTGTCGTTACGTACAGATATCACGCAAAAACATCGTTAAATTGCATTCGATAGCGGTCAAAATGGATATTTTCGTTGAAATATGCTGCCTGAAACTTTTCGCGATTACAATACTTCCTTTTTACTTCGTACAAGGAAGTAAAAATGAAATATTATAGCAATTTAAAAGTTCCTTAAGTGCAGGTAAGCCTAATTAATTTTGTCGTTTCGGACATGTTTGTTTACATTCGAAACTTGGCAGAATAGCGGATTTTACGCTAATTTAAAAAACTAAGCTTTGCAACAAGAAAGATAAAGCCTTCTTTTGTTATTGCGAATTAAATCATGCTTAATCCATTCTGGAATTTATTCGAGGAAATAGGTGTTTAAAATTTACTTCGAAATATTTAATATATATGTTTAGAGTTTTTATGCATTTATGCCTTGTCGCAAAGTGAGAACTGAATGAATTGAATGAGAAATACTGAATCGTCTGTGAAAATCTGTTTCTTTATTGTGTTGTTTGCTTAATTTCTTTGATTAATCGTTTACGATTTATTATAGTATTTGAATAGAACATGTGACAACGATTAGATAATTCTTTAAATGATATAAATGTTGTGCATTCTGAGTTACAATCTGGGCGAAATGTAGCGTTGTTAAGTAAACCTAGCGCCAGAGTGTGACAAAAATAGTGAATTTTAAAGCGTGCATTTGTTCTATTGTGGTTTTTGCGATATCGACGAAGTATATTTAATTCAATATAATAAGTTTAAATGAAGTGCAAGAAAATGCGTATAATTTAATATTCCGTACAGGGAATTCATGTCGTGTACAGATCAGATTTTTTATTTTGTAATAGAGAGATTAAAAGGAATGAAAACAAAAGTTAGGATTTCTACGCTAGTTGATAGAAGCTGTTTTTAAAACCTTTTATTCAATTCATATTAATATATTTTTATTCTTCTTCTTCATAATTAGTGGGATCTAGTATGCGGTGATTATCATTATACAAAATTCATCCAAACAATGTTTAGTGTGGGAAGCATTCTTGGAACCCCAATGTATGGAGCTTTATCTGATAGGTAAGACTTTAATAATAATGATTCATATATGTGAAAATATCATTATTTATAAAAACAAATATTTTTTCTCTGACTGACATGTAATGTATATGTTACTAGAAAAGTGAGGAACAAAGCACTGTATACACTATGCCCACAAAAGCCCTTATGCCCTCTGTATTTACCTTGATCGTAGCTATGAATGAGCCTCTAAACACATATTTATTTTCGATGGCGTAAATATTTCCTGCTTTGGTATTTTTGAATTTAATATGCAAGAGTTATTAAATTCTGATACGATATAAATTGAACGAGATCTTTAATTTAAAAGTTAAGGACTATATTCGGCAGCCGTAAAAGAATTTTAAAGCGAAATGTTTGCAACTGTATGCAGCTAAAAACTATACACAGGAGTGTTTCTTTGCACGATTTTTAAAGTCATTTAATTCATGTTTATAATGTAAAAACATGAGCAAAGTATTAAAAATGTGAAACTCATTTTGAACGATTTTGTATTCATTTAATTGATGTTTATAACGTAAAAACAAACATGTTAAAACAGGAACAGTGTTCAAAAAGAGAAACTCTTTTTGAAGGATTTTGGAGTCTTTAATTGATGTTTATAATCCATTAATGTTCGATGATTTCCGTGATAGGAGCGCTTTTCTTAGTAATTTTTTAAGAGTACCCATATCCACTCCTGTTTCATTACATTATTCGCCGTGGGTTCACGCTTACAAAAAGCTCTTTTCAAGAGATAAAACGCCCAGCAGTAGGTAAAACATTACAAGGCTTCGCAAGAATACGTTGAAAAGGCGTAGGAAATACCTTTATCTTTCTTTTTTCAATGAATGCAGTGGTGCTTTTTAAAGAATGACATATTGATTTGCCTTGATGAAATTTTACTCTTTGAAAGTCATTGGGACAAAGAAATGGAATTTCTCTCGTAAATATCGGGCGTAAATTTTCCTCTTATTAGAACGTTAAGTTGATTTTAGCTTTTTTTTTTTTTTTTTTTTAAACTCTTGATATTTTTGATTTCCTGTTCAGGAGAATCCTGCGACAATCATAAACGTTTTACTGAAACGTTCTTTACACTGACAATCTAGGTTTGTTCGTTTTCGATAGCAAAGAGTTCTTTGTTTGGCTGTTATTTAAACTCATGCTTCATCAAGATTCACAATGGACTTTGATTTATTTTCTACTAAATAATGAACATACCAGGTTGTATAAATTGTTCTACGTAGAGCCACATTTTTCGGCAAAAGCTGGAGAACATTATATTTATTTAGCTTTTTTAAGTTGTAAATCTTGGTATATTATTTTACTTATTGCTGCTACAGACGTATTTATAGATTTTGCAATTGATTTCTGCATCGGTGGGTTTCTCTTATTACGATTATTTGACTTTGAATCATTAGAAATAGTACGTACCTTTTTCGAATATTAGCTTAGCGACTTCTTTCCATATAGAAGTACGAGTAATGACTGACGTTTTTTCTCTTTCTGATAAGGAATGTTGCTTATTTTGCACTTATTTCATACCATGCATTTCACAAGGTTTTTTGAATTATGGAATAGAGAAATTTTTAAATGAAAAATAAAATTAAAGTAGCGGATGATGTTTCTCACTTCCGATAATAAGTTTGTTAAAATAAAATTTATGTTGGCAGGCATTTTTATTCCAAAATATTTGCTTTTTTTAAAATACTGTATTGAAAATTCTACTCAAAATCAGTAAACACGCTCTGTATATATGTAGTAGGTTGGAAGATAATCATTGTAACAATTAGGAGAGCTTTTATTCAATAGATAGATTAATGACTTGTCGTAATAACTTGGAAATCGTTAATGGTGCAGTAGATCGATAAAGAAGCGGAGACCTGAAGAACTAGCCAAATTAAATTATTTTCTTTTTATGTATGGTTTTCATGCATTTTTCATTAATTCAGTATAAATGACATGGGCACAATAGCGCCTTCTTCTTAAATATGTTTTAAATCAGTAACAATAGACTTGTGAAAAATATCTCTGAATATAGCCAGTACCAGCGGCAAGTTCAGTGCAAAGCGGAGTGAAAAGTGGCGTGTGAAGAGAAGAGACCAAAACGTTTCGGATCCAGTTGAAATATTTAATCTCATTGCTATAATATCTCTGCATTGCAGCGTTATGTTAGATGGCTTGAAACGAATTAATTTTGAAATGGCGCAGTTAAGACTGATATATTATAGATAGTTACTATACTGGGGACAAAACAAGCAAGTACCCAAATTAAAAAGAAGTATAAAAGAGATTAAAAATAAATAAATAAAAACAAAATCTGAAATGTTTCAGGTTTTAAATTACGTCCAAAGGGGCATTTTTTTAATATTTTGTGTGTTACCTTTATTTATTAAATATCATGTTCTTCCACTTACACCATGCCCACCAGCGGCCGAGTGGTAAAGTCGCTGAACACTGGTAGTCCCGAATCCCGCGAACGGGCTGGCTGCATTAGTGTTTTCGTAGTTTTCCCCATGTGTAACGTGTATACGAACCAGTTCCCCTTAGAAAATCCTCCACGAAGGCATTCTTCCTTTAGGCAGATAGCCCTCGAGGCCTTGCCATAATCACACACTCCACTTACACCATATAATTTAGTTCAAGAACAGTATAGGAAAATAAGTTTAAAATGAGGTTATCTTTAGAATTTCCGATACACAGTCTCGCGCGCTGGAGATAAAAATGTTTCTTCTGCACAAAGTTGCAAATGCTCGCTTTTAAATCCTTGAGTTTGTTAATCAAAAATTCGTTAACTTTTACAAAAATATTTAATCGATCATAAAACAATTTCTAAATTTCAAATTTGTGCTCCCAAATGCCTATACTCGCAGAAGGTTTACGTTATTCAAAATTCAATGGCTCTAGGTACGGTAGTTTTATCACAATGCAGGAAATATGCATACATATATGCAGATTCTTCATTATTTAATATCTTTAAATATAATACAGGGCGATAGTATTCGGTGGCAACAGTTTGAAAAGTAAAACAACGCTTGTAGTGAATCAGCGAAAAATGCCACAACGTAATTCCTCCTGGCCAAATTGCCCCTTTGGACTAATTAGAAGTTTGGTGTTTATATGCAATAGAAATAATAATAATATTTATGTATATTATTGTCATATATATATTTCAAAACGGAGATTTCCTTCACAGAATTATAAAACATTCATGTCTTAGAAAAAGTGGCAGGCTTTAGAACTGCCACATAAACAAACTCGTAAGATTTACATAAATTGATAATTAAAAAGACATAAATTAATAATAAAAATATTTCTAGTCTAATTAATTTTTTATAAAGTAATAAAACTTCATAAAAATATTAATAACATATCTTTGGACCTTTGAAAATTTATAAATTACATGTGTGAAAATTGTTTCATCCACTACACTGAATTAAATCAGTGAGGCAGAAGCCTTCGTAAAAACGTTTACGCTGGACATCCAGTTAATCGCTCCCTGTAGATGTCTGATGAAAAACTGTATATGACATTACTAGTTTACCTTACATCTTAGTAGTTTGAAGTGATCATTCTACATAATTGCCTTCTGAGCATTGATATTCCGTCCCGGTTTAGATTCCTACAGAATAGGCTGGCTGCCTCAAACATTCGTGGTTTTCTAGATGTATTACGTATATACAAATCCGTTTTTAGATCTCCTCTTCAAAGGCATCCATTCTAAGGCAAATATACGGTTTCTTCCATACGCATTGTGAATACTAGCCAGTTTTCCTTCGAAAACCTGCCTAAGGGATTCCCCTTAGGCAGACTGCCCTCGCATGCTCTCCGACAAACGCAACATACAACAAACCTAACCAAGCAAAAACAATCTTAAACCAACCCTATTCGTTCCATGTTTTCGCCCACCAGTGGCCGAGTGGTAAAGTCGCTGAAAACTCGTAGTTCGGTTCGTTTGGAAGTGACTGGCTGGGGCTTTTCGTAGCTTTAGAGAGTGCAATTTATCAAAGAGCCAGATTCCCTTAGAAAATTGAACTTTGTTGCGTTAATTAATAATAACCTGCATTTTGAGGCAAATTTATGCATGGAGTTTCTTTTCGATGGGCAATATTTATTGCATAAAACATTTGCTGTTACTTTGAATCTCATAACAACAGCAAGCCTCCAGAGCCGTAAAGCCGTTGAAAACTGGTAGTTTAATCCCGACGCAAAGGTAGGCCGCATGGGCGTTTTCGTGGCTTTTTCCATGTTTAATATTGCATGCAAGCCCGTTCCCTTAGAAAGTCCTCCAAGAAGGCATCCCTCTCCTTAGACACATAGCCCTCGAGTTGTCCTAATTGAATAAACCAAACCTAAAACCATAACAGTAATATCTACCGTTTCCAAATTTCATGTTTATTGCTATGTTTACCATATATATATATATATATATATTATCATTAAAGTTTACGCTTCTTTAGATTCCTGTTCTTTTAAATATAATGAAAGAGGGCGGCCGAGCGGTAGAAGCCGTTGAACACTGGTAGCTCGGTCCGGGTTTCGAGTCCCGGCGAACGGGCTGGCTGCATGGGCGTTTCCGCGGTTTTCCCCATGTGTATAGTGGATACGATCCAGTTTCCCTTAAAAGGACCTCCACAGGGAATCCCTCCCTTTCCGTGTACGCCCGCCAGGGGCCGAGCGGTAAAAGTCGCTGAACACTGGTAGTTCGGTGCGAGGTTCGAATCCCACGAACGGGCTGGCTGCATGGGCGTTTTCGTGGTTTCCCCATGTGTAACGTGTATACGAGCCAGTTTGCCTTAGAATGTCCTCCACGAAGGCATCCCTCCCCTTAGGCAGATAGCCCTAGCGTGCCCTAGTACTACCCCCTTTTCCGTGTAGTGTCCAAGTGCAAAGCACGTAATAAGCAAAAAAAAAAAAAAAAAAAAATCAAAGAGGGGCGAGATGAAAACTGTAATAGTTAAAGAATAACTATTTTTATTAATAGTTGGCAACATTCTAATGATGTCACTAGTAGCTTTAAATGCACTTTTTATTAATATATAACAGGCGGTATCTTTTTTTCTCCAGGATTGGTCGGAAAATTACTTTTTTCATAACTATTATCGTAACAGCTGTGTCTGCCATAGGTTCTGTTTTGATGAAACACTTCACAGCCTTCATAGTCCTTAAAACTATTAATGGAAGCCTCATGCCTTCTGTGTATCAGCTACCATATATAATAGGTAAGTATGTATTTTAAAATAAGGAAAGGTACATATTATTCTATGTAGCATTTACATACACTTTAAAAACAAAAATGGAATCAAAAATATATTTAAGAGTAACGTTGCAGTAGTCGCATTTAGTATAAAAATAACCAATTTGAAATTTTCAAGTCTATTTTTAATACCAGGTTTACACAGCCAGGGTTAGTCTGTTAGAAAAGTGCACTATTTTTCCACTACAAAATCCTTTTGAAGAACTACGGAAGTTAGGAAATAATGTTGCACTATAATTATTAAGTCTATATTCAAGCTTAAAAATTTGATCGCCGATGGAAAGACGAATTAGTTATTTCAGCAAGGGAACCTTATTAATTTCCATAGTAATCTGTAGAGTTTGCTTATAAAGCTATTAAGGTTTCTGGTGGGCTGAAAATGTTGGGGTTGAATTTTTTCTATTTTATTACTGAAATTGCCGTGCTACTTTCCTACGTATTAGTGGCAGTTTTAAAACTAGCTAAAATGGACTCAATAATTATTAATACATTTTTTTAAGGAACAGGCCGATAAATAAAGAAATGGCTAAGTAGTTAAAGAAATTATGATCATTATGATGTGGAAAGATTTAAAATAGAAAAGATTTAAAGCAGCGTTTCTCCGTCTGTGGTTCAGGAATAATAAGCGTTAATTGAAGTGTGCCCTGATGGTCCTCCTAGATTTCCACAAAAGACAAAACTTCAAAATCATATCTGCGTGCATAACTAAGAATTTAAGAATTCGGAAATTACATGCGGTTTACATCTGTCCCCCCCCCAGTGCTGACACTTTAAGCAGCTTATTACCGGTTATCTTACTTATGAGTAATTTTCAGAAGAGAGCACGATATAAGAAATTAATCAGATCGCCATCGGCAGAGTCAAGGCGAAATTAGAGACTGAGGAGACTGAAGAATCTCTAGACCTAGAAGACTGAAAGATCTGGATGTATTTTTGAAGAAGGTTTTAAAACTGAAATCAGACCACTCCCTCCTGAATATTCCTACAGAACTATTGAAACCAATAAGTCCTATCCACTTAGGATGTATTAGAACTGAATGTTATTTGATGTGTGCTTAAAAAAGTCATCATCAATTGATGGTGAGCTAAACGCAGCTGCCACTCAAGGTATCCAAAGAATAATTGGCTTCACATATATAACTGATGGATCGAAAAAGTTCGAGTTGGTGTGTAGAGCTGTTTGCATTCTATTATTCTCTTAGTACATTCCGGTATGGCTCATTTTCTTATAACTGGTAATGAATGGCTGATAAACTAGCTGAAAAGAGAACTGAAATTTTGAAAATGAAGAAGTAAATGTTGGGGGTCATTACATTTGTGAAAAGAAAAGTAAAAAATGCTGTAAGAAAAAAATTAAACTACTTGAAGAAATTAAGAATAAGAACTGGAGGAACACGATTAGTAATATCCTAGACTCTCACAGATGCAACGCATCTACTGCATTTCGTTTGGAGACCGTGGACGTGATTGTTTCGTTAAACATCTGCACCGCATTGGTATATGTGGTAGTCCTTTGTGCATTTTGTGCAATCAGAATTTTGAGATGAATAGGTATCATTTGCTAAAATGTTCCTCCTTGAAGGAAGAAAACCTATACAATCAATAGAGAACTAAAGATTTGATACCCAGGGACTAATTGTTTCCCCCATTTACCAGTTTCGATGGAGTTATTGTTATTGTAATGAAGTTAACTACTGTTTTGTCTTTTTGTAATTTTGTTCATGCTCCAATCACATGCATCTTTGATGCTTGTAGGCTGATAGGGTACAATTAAGTGAAATTGCAATAGAAAAATATTACCCATGAGCGTAACACTGTAGCCTAAACAACAGAAGAAGAACTTGAAGAACTATGACTATTATGCTTCTAATCAGTATATAATAATAACATACTTGAGCAGCTACGCAAGAATCGGCACACTCATTCATCCCATTAATGTGAAAACCAATATTTATTTCATGGTTAGCTAATAAGGTAAAGATTATCCAAATTCTCATAACGTTGAATTATTAAAAACAAATATACATTTTCTTTTATCAGCTTAATTATTTTAAAATGATATAAAAGTAAATGAATTTTAATTAACTACATTTTAAAAATTATTTATACTCTTAGCAGTATACTTTGATACTTTTGATATGCCTGTTTCAGCAGGAATTATATCTCGCTATTACAGGCACCTCATATAACCCTGGTTAGAGGAGACATAACATACAGTGCTTCGCAGGAACACCTTGACAAGGGACTGCAGGAAGATTGTGTAGATGTGGCCCAGGCCAGTGTAAATGAAAATATCATACTTTGAAACTTCAAAATTGGCTGAAAGAAGTTAATATTATTTACGGGGGATTCTGATAAATATGGGTTGCATAGGGCCTTAAATTGATACCAATTTCTAGGAGCTCGTGCTTAAAATTCTCTGAATAATTTACCTCCGCATTGGTGATGGCTTTCTTGAAAAAATTATTATTTAATTTATTGATTAATAACGCCAGACTTTGGAGCTTAAGGTCTCTGTGTAGTTGTTCTTTGCGAACGAACCAGTGGGCTACTGTGTTTCTTTGTAAGTAGTTGTTTTGGGAAACCTGCAATTTATTTAATACGGAGGGGGGAACAGAGTACCATGCAGGGAAGGCATATGTAAGGATGGGTCTTAATATTGATGTGTAAATGTCCTTCTTGCGAACAAGATCCAGTGGTGAGGAGGCGTCAAGAAAGTTTCGGAGCTTCCTAGAAACTCCTATGGCTTTCTCGATGGTCATGGAAATGTGAGGACCCTATGTAAGCGAGCCGTTAAAACGAACTCCCAAGTATGTAGCCTCTCTGACTTTGGGTACTGTTTCATTAAAGAGGGTCAGATCTGCTTCAGTGTTTTTTCTTCTGCGCCGTCCTATCAGTAATAATTTGGATTTTGTGGCATTAACGGACGTCCTCCATTTGCGACACCATTCCTCTATCTCGTGTGTGTAGTTTTGTATTCTGATCATGGCATGTCGTGGATTAAGTGAACTAGTAAGAATGGAGGTGTCATCCGCGTAGCAGGCAGTGATGCAGTTTGTATTTTCAATCATAGGGAAGTCCTTCTTAGAAGTCTTAGCAGTTTATGTTAAATCATTGCTTTTAAGGCGACAAGTATAAGGGTGAGCGAGTATATATGCAACTGTGCATGATAACATTCCGATCTAACAATTGTTCAAAATCTCCCTGTTTTACTAAAATAGATAATTAATTTTATTATAAATACAGATTTTTAAGTACCCATTGAAATATTATATATTTTTATGCTTGAACAATTTCTTGAGCATTGTCTAAACTGATACGTATTTTAAAAATTCAAGTTTTAGCAATCGTAACTGTAATTCTTTCTTTCAGTTTTGGAAATTGTGGCACCCGAGGTGAGAACTCAAATGAATGGCATCACAAATATTGCGTGGACAGTAGGTCTTTGTTTTTTGCCTTTAATCGCTTATTTAGCCCGAAGCTGGGTTACGCTAGGACTTATCACTTCATCAGTAACTCTCGTGTATTTATTTTATTGGAAGTAAGTCTAATTATGGTTTCTTTTTCTTCTCTGTTTTCGTATTGTTGGGAGTTTTGTGCATAAATAGGTGATTTTCGTGCCATTATATGTGAAATTGTTGTATTATTCTGTGTAATGCAACGCAAAGCATCTAAAGACAGAAGCTGTGCCGGAAAAGTAAAAATATAGGGGCAAGTCTACTTAACATTAAGTGAGTATCTCGGTAATTTGGCGAGATATCGCCAAGCTGGGAACGATTCGTGTGACTTATTTTTTCACCAAATGGGCAAGAAATCGCTAAACGTAGCCAAACCTGGAGATTATTTGGGGACATTTTATTCCCGTCCCTGTATCATCGTAATAGGTATTGTAATTAAATAAATTTAATTGATCATTATATCTGCTGAAACTTTAATTTGACTTTCAAATTGCTTTCCAGTAATTTCCAAAAGCAGAAAGTACTAGAAATATCTCGGCGGCTGGTTGAAAACTGTGTAAGGCCGGCGAGAGCATCTACTCTCATTTAGCAGGCACAATTCCTGCTGAACTGAGCTTGAACTGAGATATACCCGGATCAGCTTTCTCTTTAGATGCGCTTTGTATTGCCTTGTATTTAATTTGCTTAGTAAATAGTTTGAAGCGTAACAACTGATTGTACTCTGTGATACTGTGAGCACCTGTACTAGTATTTCTGTGGAAAATTACAGAATTCTGAAGCGTTTCGTTTGATAAAAATAAATTTTATCAACCTATCATCGGACCTGTGTGCATTCAATTTATTACGAACTCGTACTCACGCAACAATACGTTTGCTCTGTATTCCATTGCTAAATCTCCCAGTTTTGTTGTGAACGCTTAAAAAATTATATATTTTGCAAATTAATATTGAACTGCCAATTTAAATTTATTTTCTAAGTAGAAGTTGATTTATTTGACATTTCATTCAAGAAACACTTATTATAATATGATAATATCTTTGGCTTAAAATCTGACGCAGATTTTATTCATCATTTTCAGAATGCTTCCAGAATCTCCTCGTTGGCTCGTCTCCCAGGGAAAATATGATGAAGCACTAGTGATCATGACAAAAGTTGCGGAAAAAAACGGAAAACCCCATGATCCAAAAGTTCTTTCACAGAAAATAGAGGTAAAAAATCCATTAAGCTTCGTACATTCTGTTTCGAAACTGTAGATAAAATATTGATTTTTGCAGCAATTTACCAGCGTTGAACAATTTTAATTCAATTTTAATTGAAAATAGTATACAAGTTGAATTCAAGCAGTTGCTAGTGCCGCCATCTGTTGGTGGAAGAGAGAAATGAGAAAGTACCTGGAGCAAAATTAAAACTCGATAACCTTGGGCAAAAATAAATAAAATTCGTAAAAAAGTGTAATCTTGTAAAAAAACAATCAATGAATGTTCGTGTTTGTAATAACACATAGGTTGAAAGACGATAAAAGTGTCAAAAGGTAAAGAGTCAAGTCGTGAAAATAGTATACAAGTTGAATTCAAGCTGTTGCTAGTGCCGCCATCTGTTGGCGGAAGAGAGAAATGAGAAAGTACCTCGAGCATAATTAAAACACGATAAACTTGGGCAGCAATAAATAAAATTCGTAAAAAAGTGTAATCTTGTAAAAAACAATCAATGAATGTTCGTGTTTGTAATAACACGAAAGACGAAATCTTCTCAACAGCCTTCTAAAAACAATACGGTTATACGTTGACTCAATTCACTTCTTTATTGCAAGTCCAACAAGTAAAATAATTCCTGTTTTCTTCTGAGTATGCACAAGTTTACATACTGGTCTTCTTTAAACTTTGGTTTAGAACGGTTGCTTATAAATGTTGCCAGAAAAATTCAAACTTAGAAAATTCAATATTTTAAGCTAATGTGAAGATATTGTAATTGTATTCATTAAACAATGTCTTATAACAATGACTTGAATAGTCGTTAAACAATTTCTTGTTTATAAACAATTTAGCCATTAAACAATGTCTTTAATAGCCGAGTGTAATTACCATTTGTGGCTGAAAAAAAATTAGTTGTTATTGAATGCATTTCATTTCAATAAATTTATATTTATATATGTAGTATGTGTGTATGGAGTATTACTTTAGTTAGTCACTACAATATTTAACTTTGCATAGGAATTAAAAAGTACTACTGTCATCATTAGACAACTTATATACACATTTTTGTAGGTGAGAGTATCTGCAGCATTCTCAGAATGGCAAAATATGGAATCAAATCATTTTAGGATATTCGATTTACATATTTTCGTAGTTGTAACTTACGACATCTATTAGCATTCTCAAGTTGCTGTAAATTACACTACCTCTTAACGTCCTTAAATTTACAAACGTTGTTTCAATTTATTTTAAGACATTATGTTTATGCACTTTTGGAGGCGATCCAACTTGGCCGTTCGCAGTCTCAGATTTTCCAGTACGGGCATTAGCGATTTTTATCGTATAACGTTCGGAATAATTTTGTAGTTTCAGTCTCGTATAAAATAAAGTAGCATCTCGAATAATTTTGATATCACTTATATCTGGCATTCTACTATATAAAAATGAGTGCAATGCATATTAAATTTTTCAGAAGACTCTTCCTACTATTCTGCTTAATATGACTTTAATATTTTATTTAGAAATTAGGAGAGAAATTGAAAGCAGACAAAACTGTGCAAGAATCCTCGTCTTTAGATCTTCTCAAATATCCCCAGCTACGCAAAACATTTTTAATCATAACTTTATGTTGGTAAGTACGATTTCACTGCATGCAAATAATGCAAATGGTAATCGATTCATTTGTACTCATTTAGATTTTTCTTTAAGAATATTTTGCCATGATTTTATATACAAAGTCTCAGCTTCTACTATTAATAGCGTGTTTTTAATTGTAATACTTCTTAAATAGGCAATTCCTTAAGTGGAAAATTAAATATTACTTGCATTCCATGCAGAGAAATGTGTTATGAGTAAACGTCTTATAATTTCTTAATTTAAGCAGGAAAAGCATGAATTGTGCATGACCACTTACTTCATATGGTTGCAAAAAAAAAATGGAACCTAAGAATTGAGACCTGTACGAGATTACCGCACATTGAACATGCAAACAATAAATGATAAATATATTTTCCTTAGTTAGCCGATTTTACTGCTGATTTGCACGATACTAAAATGTTTATTAATAAGGCGTACCAGCAATTACCTATCATTCCCGAAGATATTCATAAAACCGACATATGTACACCATTCGCGGCTCTTCGAGTTGCCATGACAACCTTTCCCGGGACTTGGAGAATTCTCATTTTCCCGTTCCATCTTCTTTCAACCTGTTTCTGATACCATCCACGCTAGCGGGTGCAGGTAGGTAATCGCCTCAAATCCTCACCTCTTTCTCTCCTCAATTGCTGCGGTCTTTGACCCCTACTCAGGTAAAGATAGAAGTTGAAAGAAGCCTTCGTCCCACTGTTTGGACTTCTTATCGATCTCTTGTACCTTTAATCCCTTAACGGCTCTCGTTCTTTACTTTAGCTATGCTCATCTCTCATTTGTTCTTAACGAAGTTGTAGAGGTTATTGCTGTTTTCGATCTCCCTTTAACTTTACTATGTACCTCTCTCTTTTCCTTAACTCTTTTGTTTTTTGTGTTTTGCTGTTTTCACAAATACACCGGAAAGGGGGGGAGGGGGGGGGGGGGGGGGGGGGGGGGGGGGGGGGGGGGGGGGGGGGGGGGGGGGGGGGGGGGGGGGGGGGGGGGTCAGGGGGGGGGGGGGGGGGGGGGGGGGGGGGGGGGGGGGGGGGGGGGGGGGGGGGGGGGGGGGGGGGGGGGCGGGGGGGGGGGGGGGGGGGGGGGGGTCCCTGGGGGGGGGGGGGGGGCGGGGGGGGGGGGGGGGGGGGGGGGGGGGGGGGGGGGGGGTGGGGGGGGGGGGGGGGGGGGGGGGGGGGGGGGGGGGGGGGGGGGGGGGGGGGGGGGGGGAGGGGGGGGGGGGGGGGGGGGGGGGGGGGGGGGGGGGGGGGTGGGGGGGGGGGGGGGGGGGGGGGGGGGGGGGGGGGGGGGGGGGGGGGGGGGGGGGGTGGGGGGGGGGGGGGGGGGGGGTGGGGGGGGGGGGGGGGGTGGGGGGGGGGGGGGGGGGGGGGGGGGGGGGGGGGGGGGGGGGGGGGGGGGGGGGTGGGGGGGGGGGGGGGGGGGGGGGGGGGGGGGGGGGGGGGGGGGGGGGGGGGGGGGGGGGGGGGGGGTGGGGGGGGGGTGGGGGGGGGGGGGGGGGGGGGGGGGGGGGGGGGGGGGGGGGGGTGGGGGGGGGGGGGGGGGGGGGGGGGGGGGGGGGGGGGGGGGGGGGGGGGGGGGGGGGGGGGGGGGGGGGGGGGGGGGGGGGGGGGGGGGGGGGGGGGGGGGGGGGGGGGGGGGGGGGGGGGGGGGGGGGGTGGGGGGGGGGGGGGGGGGGGGGGGGGGGGGGGGGGGGGGGGGGGGGGGGGGGGGGGGGGGGGGGGGGGGGGGGGGGGGGGGGGGGGGGGGGGGGGGGGGGGGGGGGGGGGGGGGGGGGGGGGGGGGGGGGGGGGGGGGGGGGGGGGGGGGGGGGGTGGGGGGGGGGGTTGTTGGTCCATTGGTCCGTGTGCAATTCGGCTTATGCGACGCATCCGCGACCTTTCGATATTTTATAGACGAAGTCACTTGAGATTTAGACATTTTTTATATTTTCGTCGATAACTATAGAGGTTATCACACATGGCTACAGTCCCTGCTAGACGGGACTATTCTGAGAAACGAGATTTGGCTAGCACTGGTTTAAACGGGAGGATTCCTAGAAAAAAGAGCCCTCCTGAAGCGAAGTCCCGCCTAGCTACGGATACAATGTTGCGGCTACGCGGGATTTTTTCAAATCTCACAGAAAACGTCTTGGCTCCCGGGTAGAGACAACCAATCAGACGAAAGTTCTGCTTCTGAAGTATCACGTGATCCCAATCTGAGCGATAATCGATTACTGTTTGGCGTTCAAGTCTTTGTAGTAAGTGAGAATGGTAACCTATCTACGTGTGTTTCCCGGAATTGTGCGGGTTCTGAAAATTGTCCCTTTCGACGTCAAGTCCCGCGTAGCCGAAACATAATGTGACTGGGACATTACTCATAGCCTCTAAAGACTTCGAGGAACACTGCAGGCATTTGAAAGCCTTATTTTCAAAACTTCAGGAATATGGACTTTGCTTAAATGTTTCCTTAATGCAACTTGGTTAAGCATCTATTGAATACATAGGTTTTCACCTTAGTGAAAATGGAATTAAACCTCTTCCTGACAACACTTAATACCTTTCGAGTGTTAGCTGCATATTACATTGAATATTACTCTTGATTATACAAACACAGGGACTTGGTAATAATTCTTGATGTTCTGCAACAGAGTTTTTAATATAAAGAACTTTAACAAACTGTTAAAAATACGCATTGGAAGCAAAACAGAATTCCAGTCAAACAAATTCATTACAGAATGCGAAAACATGTAATGGTTACTTATTGCTGTGAGTATAACATGCAAAGTACGGGTGCTTTGTATGGCAGTAGACTTTGTTTTTAATCTCAGTATGGTGTTGCGTGGCCTCAACTTGTCCTCAACAGTAGTAGTGACTGCTATGAACTGGAAATTACACAAACTCTTAAGAAGGGTTTAACTCCCTTTTTATTCCACTTTATAGATGCGTTCACTTGACGCTCACAAACTACGCCGACCCGGCGGTTAAATAAAAACTACAACTAAAAATACAACTAAAAATAAATAACAGGATGCATAACTAATGAAGTCACTATCTACGAGGCTCTATAATTGCAACTATCTTAACCGCGTTCTAAGATACAGCTGAGATTCAGCAAACTTTCGGATTGAGAAGTTGAAAGTTTCAACTAACTGCCGGAGTAGGCACACAGGCCGAAACGGGCGGTTCTTAAAATTTCTACCTAGCAGCCTTCACGCTCGTGAATCAAGAAAAGCACACTTACAAACTCGTTTCCCTTTTATTTAACTCAAATTACTTCTGCTAAATATTTTAATACTCTGCGCATTCTACTAAAATTTACATAAATGGACATACATAAACATAAAGGGACGTACATAAACACAAAAACATTCCAGGGGAAAGTAAAGGCTTGACAATAAAGATAGCTTAAAGTAAATGTTAGTTAAAATAAATATACACCCGACAACAGCATTCTATTAGCTTAGATTCAGATGACCTTGTATCTATGCTTCAGAAAATATGCTATTGATTGAATACTATAATGTCTTTCTGCGCATTGGCCTCATATTTAAAGAGCTCGGTGTGATCATTTGTATATAACAATATTACGATTTGTTTAAAAATATTTTGAGAAATTATAGGTTTGCGGAAGTGTATCCAAATATACAAAGAATGTAAGGCAATTTCTTTTTCAGCTTTTCCAGTCCCATTTAATGCTTCTTCCTCAAAACTCATTACAATAAGCACAATGAATCGTCAAATGAATAACAAAGTATTTATCCCAGCATTTTCTCAACGAAGTCAAACATAAATAACATTTCTTTTTATCTAGAATCATGCATTGTTTTACATCTTTCCATTAGATATTTCTTTAAATGATGGACAGATTCAAGACAGGAATAAAACGTTTAAAGTTTACAAAAGCAGTAATCCGTTAACGATAATAAATTATCCTTATAAATTAATACTTAAAAAGTCTCGATAGATGCAATAAAAATGTCTTGATAAATGCAATAAAAATATGATAATCGTATAATTTTACCTAGGATAGCGGATACATGCACTTATTATGGTCTACAAATAAATGTCTACAATTTAGCAGGCAACGAATTTGTCAACTTTTTTTTCATGGCTTTGGCTGAAGTTCCTGGTTACTTAGCCAGCTGGTACGTCATGGACGTCTGGGAAGGCGATGGTGTGCAGTTGGCGCTTTTTGTTTGACTGGAATCGTCTGCATGTTGCCTGGTATAGGTAAGGATTTTGAAATTGATTTAAAATTAAATTTAGGTACATTTTTATTAGGCTTAAATATCATGTATGCAATATCTGAGCGGATATATGAAAAATAATTTATTCGTTTCGTTTTCGTAATCTTAACGGCTTGGTTATCTTTTTCAATGCTCCGTCTTCTTTTCCGTGCTCGTTTATGACTTTAATATGCCAAAGAAATTTAGAATGAAAGTGCAGGAAAAAAGTCGTTCCCTTTCATTTGAGTATGGGCATTTGGAAGCAAAAAAAAAAAATTAATTTAGAATTTGTTTTATTATCGAGTTCATATTTTGTAAAACGTTAACGAATTTTTGATTAACAAACTCAAGAATTTCAAAGAGAGCAACGTCAACTTTGTGGAAAAGAAACTTTTTATCTCGAGCGCACCAGACTGTGTATCCGAAATTCTAAAGATAACCTCTTTTAAAATTATTTTGCGATACTGCTCTTGAACTGAATTATTTCATTTGAAGTTTTTGAAGACCTTTCATTTCATATATTATATATATACATATAATTAAAAAAAAGAGAACAAACGATAAAAGAACTATGTGGTCACCTTACTTTCATTAGCATATTGCTTACAATTAGTACTGATTTTTATTTGTAAATATTCAAGTGTTTATATTGTTTATTTAATCTTTATTACACATTTCATTGCACTTTATTTTACTTTATTTTACTATATTTTCACGGAACCACAGTATCTAAACAACCTTTTAGCGTACGAACTAGGAATTATATATATCAGTTTTGAACAATGAAATATATATATATCAATTTTGAACAATGAAATTGATGGATTAATGACATACACAACACTGATACATAATCAACCTATCAAATACGGGATTTGTAGAGCACCATAAATAAGTTTCTTGCCTAGATACGTATTAACAAATCTTCTTATATAGCAGCATGGTTTTATAATTCAAATTTACCATTTTAGGTAAACATTTCTAAATTAATTTAAACAATTCTCTTTATTAAATCTAAAAATTGTATTTCTTAAGTGGTTCTAAATTCACACTAATAATTTTGCAATATATTGCCGTATTAAGCTTTCCATTTTTAGTCATTGAATTTATTTTAAGGTTATTTATCTTTCTTACCAATTCCATATTTTAATACTAGAAACGTTTTAAATATTTATTCTGTTTTTTTCTCACCTGATGTACTTTGCCATACATTTAATTTCTAATGCTCATTTAATTAATAAATTGATAATTATGAGCGTCTGCAGAATTTTCATAATTAACAACAAAAAAATCGAACTCTTTTATATTCATATCCTGGGATTTTCAGTCTCCCTTTTAATCCCTTCCTTTTTCACATAGTGTTGCACTGTATTCAAATTTTCATGTATGTAGAATTTATATATTTTGTATTGTATTTATACCAATTTATATTTAAATGATAATTTTTACAAATTCTTGCATCATAAATCTAGTTAAGAGAAGATATTTCTAACACCTTGGTAAAGCTTAATCTTCAGCATGCAGCTTATTTTCTAACCTAGTTTCAGGCTGAATTATTTGTAAAATTAATTATTTGAAATTATTTGTTAACAAAGATGGTCGCTAAATCACGCTAATAATATTTCTAACTGTTGTAATTTATAATGCAACAAGTTCATGTTATTTAAAACAGAATTCATTTATAATTTTTTCAGCAGTATTGAAATTAATAGCAGATACTGATAATGTTATACATTTAGATTACAATGATTTAGATTGCCATTGCCTTTCTTCACTCATGCTTTTATGCTACATTCCTAATATTTCATAATGGCATACAGGTAAGTTTAACTCATTCACCAAACATGTAAATCTCTAATTCAGCCCACTTTTGTTCTTACGTGTGCTGTATCTTCTATTTTCTTTAATATATTGTTCAGCCTAATTTCAAAAGGTCTTATGATCAAGCGGAAAAGTCACTAAACATTGGTAGTTCGACCCGAGTTTCTAGTCCCAGTGATCCCCTAGCTCTTTCTTTTTTGTACTTATTTACTGTGTAAAAATGTATAGTAAAAATTTCAGTTCATGAAGTAAAAATACTTTTAAAATTTATTCTTTAAAAATATTGCAAAATTTTTCACCTTAGCGTATCTTTTTACAAATCCCTCTGATAAGAAAAAGTAAGGAAAGAAATTAACTTGGTTTCGGTGATTGATACCTCAGTGCAAATTATGTGTAACTTTTTCCAAAAGCATAGAGTTTATATGGATATCAATAAATTATGGATTATTTCTCATCTAATTTTCTTAACATTTTTATTCCAGAATTTTCCTTTCACACTGTAGTGTTTAACTTTATGCGTTTTCTATAATAATTTACATTTGTTTATAATTTTACGCGAATGAAAGTGATTATTTAATTGTATAAGCTTTGCTGAAAGATAAACGAGAAAACAAAATTCTATCACTTGCGGTCAAGAGAGTGTTTGATGTAATAATTCTTATATATTTTCTTTGATAGTTTTTATTTAATTTCTTTCATTTATGCATTACTACATAGTTCTTTTCAAAAAATTTTTTTCGTGCCGCTATGTCCGTATTTCAGTTTCAAGGAATGCGTGCTCCGTGTAGGGTATATAATGCCTTAATAAACTTATGATATGAAAGAGATCTAAATCTCTTCTCATTTCTACTGTATTTTTTAAATTTCAACCCCTAAGAAATTTACTCTAGAAATCGTTTTTCATGATTTAATATTTTATACTTATTTATTAATTGTATTCATACTTTAGCATTTTCTTTATTCTTTATCATGCTAACCTGATTTTAAATATTTTTCTCAATACTTTTGGAATTTAAAATTATTATATTTATTGTGATATTTCACATTAATTCGTTTGAATACAATTGATTGCAATAATTAACTTACAATTTTTGGGTAACATGAAACACGTCTTAGGAATTCTAATCGTGAAATCACTCCATACCTGCGCTTTTTAAGTAAATCCTCGATTCTTCCTTCCTGTTTGCGTAATTCCTGTTTGTTATTTTTTTTATGCTGCTTCACACCATTTATTGCAGCTTATATATCTATCTGAATTTCACGAATTACATCTGTGAAGACAAATATATTAGAATGGGAATGATAAAACTTCGCTCTGAATTTTGAACGAAATGCTTCACATGCATTTGTTGTTCTTTCCGATGAAATATCAGCGCAAGCCCAAAGTATCGGGAGGAAATTTTGCATCCTCATCTAGGTAGTTCTCGGTTATGTAATCAGTAAAGCGTGTGATGTTTGCATCCCGTGGTTGTTGTGACATCAGATCTTCAACGAAGCTATCCGAAACTTCAGTAGCGTCCAAAAACGGTAATCCAAATACCACTCGAAGCCATCTGCTAATTTCTGAATTACCATTCCGATATTGTTGCTGCAATCCGCACTGGTGAAGTTTTCGCCACCAAAGCTTGAGTCAAGTGGAATCTACATCCTGTAATAGAACATTCAGGTCACATTTTTCTCACAGCTTCATGGATTGCATATTCAAAATCTGCCACCACAATTTCTGGCTGAAAAATTCAAATGCAATTTAGAACGGAGTTCTTTCAGTTTTTGAAACATAGTTCGTATATTGCCGTAGACTTTCCTGGTTGCAAATATGTATATAATTTATTTACTAAATAATATTAATTATATTATCTCCTAAGATTAATTTTAGTAGAATTATCTTAAAAGAGTGAATCCATACTTAGTAAGTTCTATTTTGAAAGATGTTTTGAAGTAACTTGAATGTAAATTATTAAAAATGTTTAACGGGGACGTGAATTAAATCATGAATAACAAAATTTCAATTGTAAAAGGAATAAATTAAAAGCAAGTAATTAAATTAAATGCAAGTAATCATTGCCATTGATCGGAAATTAGTTGCCTTTTCAAGGGAACAAACCAACTCCCGTTCAATGAACAATAATTAAGAAATAAATACGAAGGTGTTTCGTCCTTTACTCGAGCAATAAGGCGATGCCAAACCGGCAATTCAAGCTAGGCCAAACATTTCCGTGAATAGAAGGGATTAAGAACTAATGCAGAGAACCAAAGAACTCATTCCGATTAATCATTTTAGCTAATTCAATTTTGAGAGAAAAGCAATTTATGCAGTAAAATTGATATGGCTCGAGTAATTGTCACCCGACACCCTCGTGTTTATGCATTTTAGTTCAATATTATTTGTAAAAATTAAAATTGGAAATCGTCATTATGAAATATAATTAAAATTAGTTGAAATAAACATTAGAAAATTACAAAATATAAGAAAAATAATGCAATCTTTGTAAAAACAAATCAAAAATAAAAAATTTTTAAAAATATATAATATGAAAAGTAAATATACATGGAGATATAAAGGCCAGGAAAAGTATTAATTAACTTACGTTCTTTCTAGTGGGGAGTGGGCAAAGTGTTTTCTTCGCGTCTGACTCAGAAGGGTTGTGTTTCAGAAATTCTTTAGCGGCAGCGGGGGCTTAAGTGGGATATAATGCCATTTTCCACTGTATGAAACGCAAACATCTGAAAGAAAAGTTTTGAGCAAAATGTGAAAGTGCCATCAACCAAAAACTTTTTTTTGGTCACATAAGATCCTTAAATTTGAATTTGTTGAAAAACAAACTATATTATTTCTATCGTCATTAATCTGAAGAAGATTTTCATGTCGATAAGATATCACTTGCATTACATTTAATGCAGAATGCACACCAGAAATACATTTTGGAAGTGGAGGTAGGACTTTCCTTCTCCGTCGGTACGCATATCTCCGAATACAGTGAACATCATGGCTGCTTACAATATCTGAATGATGAGCTGCAATATAGTCAGTTCTTTCCTGATTAATTTCTGAGGTTTTTCAGATGTATCCTCCGCTGCCTTCTTTTTAACACCGTTTGAAACAGCTTGTCTAGAAATAGTCTTGCAACGCTCATGATTATGACGCAGATAAGATTTTGATAACACGTTATTTGTCTTATCAAGATAAAGTGTTGCTCTGCATTTTTTACCTGTACAACGCCATTTTTGGTACTCTGCTTTGTCATAGTCCTTATAAACTTTATGTCCTGAAAAAAGAACGAAGAATTTTTACTCTCTGACTGCGAATAAACTGCATCATAGATAAATATGCTTAAATAACACCAATTTTAATTCAAGGTTGAATTTATGATAGAAGTAAACATATGTTTCGCTAAGATGTTTTTTCTTTGCAAGAAAGTCAAAGAAGCGTTCGGAACTGATTGAAAATTTAGCTATTTAAGGAATACACACTGACTTCCGGTTGTAGGGGTGAAAAAGGTCAGAGGCAATAGTTGTGCTCATGAAGAATGTCTTCTAGCCCCACAATGTTGTTACAAAGATGAATTTATTGCCTGCAAGAATATTACGGAACTTTCTGAAAGTCCTCTGAAAATTTCTTTTGTGTTAAATTAGCAATTAACAAAAGTAAATCTAAAGCTATGTATAAAAGAAATTAAACAAACAAAAAAATAAACGATTTTTCACAGACAATTCAGTGTTTCTCTTTCAATTAATTCAGTTCTTACTTTCCGACAAGGCAAAAAGACTTAAAAACTCAGAATATCTGTATTAAAAATTACGAAGTAAATCTTAAACATTTATTTCCTCAATTAAATTCCAGAATGGATTAAGCATGCTTATTTCGCAATAATAATAAAAGAAGGCGTTATCTTTGTTGTTGTCGAAGCTTAGTTTCTCTAGATTGGCAACAAATCCACTATTCCTTTATAAAAAATATATTTCTTTATTTTTATTTTCTTCTTCGCTCAATTGGCTTCGAAATGTAACCCTGTAGGCAACGGTGGGAAGAAATTTTGTTTGGCCCAGTTGGACTATAGCAGGACGAAGGGGGCGATTTTCATTCGCGCAATTGGAGTACACCCCTTTTTAGAATACTGGCAGGACAAAAATCTGGTATGAATAAGCTAAGAGAAAAAAATGTCTTTCAACTTTCAGGTAATTTTTCTCACGGCTGAGAAAAAAGTCGTTTGTCAATTCTTTAAGTCCCATAATTCTAGAAAAATTTATAGCATATAGTATCAATGTAACTTCACATAGTAAATCGACTATACAAAATAAAAATTGAAATTTCACCTAAAAAAACGAAGTCTAATGTTGGGAAAGAAAAATAAATAAATCTTCATAAAATTATGTTGAACCTAATAAACAGAGACTTATATTTGTTCAGCCTCGAAATCGAGAGAATTTCTTTTTTAAGAATCATTGCCAAAATAACATTGTCTTTATGCCTTAATGTTTTTTTTCTCCATCGGCGTGTTTTTCTTCGGATTAAAGAAATGAACTCTTGGTGGTGCAAGAGCGTTTCGTTGCTGGTTAAAATTATAACTGTTTACATTTCGAACACCAATTATTTATTATTTATTAGTAACATTTTTGTGACAATGTTTAATGCTCCTTTCTAGATATGCCCTACGCTGATATTGTATGTTCAGTGATTGGTAAATTCTCCGGAGCGGCTGCTTTCATGGTAACATATCAGCAAAGTTCTGAACTCTATCCAACAGTTGTGCGATCCTTGGGAATGGGAATGAGTTCCACTGTTGCTTCAATAGTCACGATTCTTCTTCCTTATATTATTTTATTGGTACGTTTATAATGGAAATCTAAATAATATTTTACAACTACTTCAATATTGTTTAAAGTTTACTAAAAAAGACACTTGGGTACTTAAAAATATTATGCAGACCTGCTGGAGTTGAACCGTTGACGGAAGAGGTAATTTAAATTTTGTTAATTGAACAAAAATTGGAAGATATAATCATTGTCAAAAGTATTCATATACTAGCCAAAAAGTTTTAAAACCTTTGTTATTTGCAAAGAAACATATGTAATTATTATTTATTATTATTTTCATATTCTATAAGTATTCCACAATGAAAGAAAATGTATAAAATGAGTTGTTTTTATTTCCATTTGAAACAGAAAAAAGTAAAAAAAAAAAAAAAAAAAAAAAAAAAAAAAAAAAAACGTTATCTCGATTTTAATTGAATACATCAAAAATATTCATATTCTAGATTCCAAACAATTAACTATGCATAATGTCTCGATTTTTAATTTAACTATAATATTTAGCTTTTTTTCTTCTGGGTAGCAAAATTTGGCTTAATTTTGCCCCATTCCTGGTACAAAGCGTTTTTCAATTACATCTGATTAGAAATTAAATATGAATTTTCATTTTGTCTTGAAAATGTACCCATAGAGGCTCTCTCTATATTGACTGTTCGTTGCATTCAATTCATTGTGCTCATTTTACAAAACCTACAGCATGGCATCCAGACCAGTGCATTTTGGATCGTTATCATCTTTAAATACAAAATCACATACCAATCATATTTTTACCCATTCTGTTTCAGATTTCTTTCAAGAATATCTGTGTATTGAAATAGCTTTTTTATCCTTCGATCTTTGTTAATTTGCAGAGGCTGATACATGCACCTAAACAAGAATACTTATTACCACCATATTTTACGGCTGCTCCTATGTTTTTATCTTTGAAGAGATGTTCTGGTTTACGCCATATTTTAAATTTTCAGTAAGTGTCCCCAGAATTTTAAATTTAGATTCATCACTGAATGTTACCTTATTCCAGAACTCTAGAGGTCGATTTTAATATTTGTTTGCAAAAGATAGTCTTTTCTTTGCATTGCCAAGAAACACATGGAACTTTTTCCGAGCGAATCTTAAAAATCTTTTTCATTTAATAACATTTCTGATTGTTCATTTGGAAACTAACAGTGCACGATTCTTGTTCTAATACAGCTCTCAGTTCCGGCGCAGAAATACGAGGATTTTGTTTTATGTTTTCAGAATAAATTTCTTATGTCTTGGCGTTCGTTTTTGAGGACATATACTTCCAGGTTATTTGGAAGATTTCTGCATACTTCACACTTTTACTTAAATTAAACTTTGAATTGTAGCAAAACTGTTACCTAAAATTTTCTGGTTTCACTGTCACTTTTTCCTCCTCGAGGGTTGTCTTTTATCACGGTAATGCTCGTCCTTGCATTTCCATGAATGTTAGTCAAAAACCATTAATTACATGTGAGATGTTTCGTATCACCCCCGAAAGAACTTTCTCACATCTCATCTTTTTCTTTCACATCACTTCAAAACTATATGAACCTCTTATAGTTCACCTCTTTGAAGGTTGTCAAACAGTACCTCAATAATTTATTTGAGAATTTAGTTTTTCAAAAAAGGAATCTACCAGGTGCCGAGGAGTTGGAATAAATGTGTAGAGCAAAATGAGGCTTGTGATTTAATGCAATATGCTTATTATTAAACATATGTTAGCCACTAGTATTGTTTTAATTATTATCTCTTGATTCTATATATAATAGTACTTCAATATAGATTAAGATTTTTTCAGGCTATTTATGGCAAGGTTATTCCTTTTATTATCATCGGAATCATATGTCTAACAGCAGGAATTGCTGCATCCTTCTTACCAGAGACACTCAACGAAAACTTACCTCAGACGATTACTGATGCTGAAAATTTTGGAACTAAACAAAAATTCTTTTCCTGGAACAAGTAAGTTAGAAACATAAAATGTGCTTACGTGTATAATAAAACAAATAAATAGCATACAAATGCCATCAAAACAGTAATAACTAGTTCAAATTTTCTAACCCATTCTTTAATAATGTTGAGTGTTTTAACCATAAACACGTTTAGTTTGCCTGCACGTCAATGTTTGTGAAAATAATATCTACATGAAAAAGTTTAATTTTGTTAAATGAAACACTTTAATCGAAATATTAATATGCTTACCAAAACTCTTCGTATTTTTTTATCTAAATGAAATATCAGATATTGCTTGGTAGGAAGACCCACATGCATACAAAGATTACTTTAAGGACTGGGAACATGAGAAATTATCTGTGGTCTCCTAGTTATATACGCTAGCTTTTAGCATTACAAGCATGTAGGGGGTGTAAGAAAATCATGTGCACAGTAAGAACCTTATATGAGACGATCATTCAATTTTTCTAAATGTTTCTGGTTTAAGTTGATAGCTGGAGAGAAGTAATGTTAAAAATTTCTATATTTATTTAGGTATTCAAAAGTACTTAGCATTTCCAAAGATACTCTTGTACAGCAGATGGTCACAATGAAAGGTTTGACCGTAGCATGCATATTTAAAATAAATTTGTGAACAATTTAGTTGTTGCTCAAATTTCGACTGTGGATTCAATCAGTTTATAAGGCATTTAGATGAAACGTACTTTTGAAAAAAAGTAATGCTAGAAATTTTAACAAATACTAATAGTATACTAACTTATTTATAAGTGCCGCTAATCAGATAGGTATATGAAAATTTAAAAAAAAATAGAGTATTCAACAACATTTAGAATTTTTTAAATTCAGTCTCAAGATATGTAATCTAGATCAGTAATCTAAATACAGTAATCTAGATCTAAATCTGCTTGGCGAGACAATATTAGAGTTTTGTTGAAGTCTTCGTCTATATCATTCTGATCTAATGCAGATGAGATTTACGAATTTATCATGACAAAAATGCGGCGGTCGTTGGCTTAGATCTTGGCACACTTATGTCAATAAAACGTTTTCTCAGTTCACTCCAAATTTTAATCGAGAATACGAAAGGAAGCTAAATACAAAAATCTGAGATCCTTCGTACTCTATCATTAACCTTCTGGGTGTATTTTCGCCTGGATGAATTTTAAGTGAAACAATGTCTCAAAAACACTTTACATTTACTAAGATTCATGGCTTCTCCGAGAATTGAAGCCTTGCTCAAAAATATTGTTACGGGTTTTTATTTAGTTGCTATTTTAAGTAGAATTATTATTAAATTATTTCATTTCCCCGTAAAGTGCTGCGAGAGGCAGGTTGTAAGGAAAATCTACGCCGAAAGCGTAAAAATACAGGATAACGCGCATTTAACATTTAATAAATAGATATCTCGTAATTGTATATATTTGCTATCAAGAAAAATCGAGAAAATACCAAAATGTTCTCGTGCATTATTAAAAGGTTTATAAAAGCTTTATCAAAACATCTCAATTCAGTTGTTTAACTTAATTCTGTGATTGATTATAGCGATTTCGCGGTGAAATCGGATTAGCTTACTCTGTGTTTTGAATTTATGTTCTAATTAACATTCTAGTAGTTTAAAATATAACTACTGTGAAATATTGCAATATTGTACGAATATCTCTGAGAAAGTTTCAGCATTTTGCTTTATTTCTTGGGATAAGAATAAATTTTATTAGCTTTTTATCCACTTGAGCATTAAAAGCATTACGAACCCGTACACACTCAGCAATATGGTAGACTGTGTAAGCGCTGTAAGGATTAGCGACGCACATTGCAATTTTTTGCGCCATTTTCAATGTGACACATATAGCTTTGAAAATATGAGCAGTTATTCTGATACATAAAAGAAAACATTTTGCTCTATGTGCTGATAAATCTACAATGCTCGAATTCTGTGTTTGTATTACAAGTATATTACATTTTGCAAGCGTACTTGGTTGTTATTTAATCCAAATGCTTTTTTTAATGTTTAAAAAAGCAAGCTTTTAAATCATTTAATTTGAAATTGTCCTATACCTTAATAATTCGCGTCAGTGAATCGTGGAGAGTTAGATACCTATTTGAAGAATAAATGAACTACACTTCTTTTAAAATTTTCCTTTTGTATCGCTTATTATGAAATCATCTTTTGCTGCCAGATTTCCTTCATACCTATTCATGTAGAAAAGTTTATGTATTTTTCATTTCAGACGCAAAATGTCTATTAGCCGAGAAAGGTCCATAAAAATGAAGATTTCGCAGTGCAGTCACAGTAAAAATAATGAGGATACTAACCCACATTCATCAGCATCAGTTTTACAAAATGCCGATTTGGAAGCTATTGAAGAACATTCTGACACTCTGAAAGAATTAGAGAATGCTCCAAACGATGAATCAGACAACATGAGAAAGCGAAAACCTTCTGACGGTGCAATCAAAAGCATAAACATTGATGAAACGAAGTCCGCTGTTCCTAGTTCAACAACCAATGACTACCGCTCATGTGAAGCTTTGAAACAGCATACTGAATCGGAGGGAAGTCGTCGTTCTTTTTAAAAGAAAACGGCAAGGATCTGCTTCCTAGGGATTTGAACTGAAGACAAATATTACATCAACAACGGGAGTAGAATGAGTAAGGATAGACAAAGAAACGACAGTCGTTCATAATCGTTAAAACACAGAGAAAACAAAATAAGGAAAGATTCCCTAGCTGGATTATGTGGGGATTTACATCAATGCAATGTCCATTACCCGATATCTTTTTTAATACTTTCTAACATTTAGAAAGCGTTTATATTTTAGTTTTGTTCTTCAAGCTATATATGTCAGTATGCTGGAATTTATATGCAGAGCGAATCTTTTTTCTTGTACGACAGGGTAAACTCGATTATTTGTTAGTTATTTGACAGTCAGGTTATGTTACCTACCAGTCCTTGAGACGTTCCAATGGTCATTATGAGCGCACAGATAGCAAAGGACAAATGCAAGTATAAA